GTTAAGCTTTTGGAGAAGGGTTGCAATCGGTTCAACATTGTGTGTTGCAGCCTACAACAGTGTCATTGAGGCCTTCACAAGTAGCCGCTGCTGACGGTTCACAGCCACAGAGTCGGTTCACATGCTTATTCTCTCCTTCTTCTCCCCGGGCTGGGGCATGGGGACGGTGCGCTTATGCCACTTTTCTGTACTGTCGGGCATAGTTTCTTTGCTTCTATAATGGAGGAGGACCACGTTGCGCTTTCTCTTCCCCTCGGGGATAAAGAATTACACAAAATCATCAGAAGGTGGACGACAGGAGGGCCTGGCGTGCTCTGGTCCATGGGGTCATGAAGAGTCAGACACGACTAAACAACAACAACATAAGCTTGTGGCTCATACATAACATTTGAGGCACCATGAGTAGTCTAGGAAGATGTACTTTCTAGGGAGTTTTCCCGTTTTAAAATCTGAGCCCCTGGAATTAGACCACCATTGAATCAGATTTCATCCTCCTCCTTGGGCCCCAATGTGGTAATTCTTACATTCTGTGTTAAATCTATTGCTCCCTAAAGTCTGTTTGACCAAGGCACTGATAGTTGGGCCCTGGAAACAACCATCTCAGAAGCAACTTTAGCACTTCTGCCAGTGCATGCCTGTGCATGGGAGACCCTACGGTGAGCACCCAGCTAGTGTGTTTATATTTTGAATATCAGCTGGCTCAACTTTGGCAAAGGCAGTAACACAGTTAGGTTTCTGAAAAATGGACCAATCCCAGTTTTTTTTAAAAAAATGCATAAGTTGTGTCCTGAAATTTGCTCTTGTTTTTATCATGAATGGGCCGAATTTTGAAAGGACAGGCCTCTGGGATTTATATGCTGTGTGTGCCTTTGATACTCCGTCTAGAACAAGCGTACGTAGGCACCGTACAAATGGCTGTCACATTTTTTGGCTTGAGTTGTTCAACTGGGAAGTCATTGTGCACTTTCCAGTTCGTGCACTGAAGGCAGGATCCGTGCTACACTTCAGGAGTTACGATGAACGCATTTTTCTTGGGGGAACATTATTTCTGCATTGATACGTCTCTCTTTTCTTTTCTTTTTCTTTTTTTTTTGAAACACTGCCCGTGAAGTGGCCATTGACAGGGATCAGAAAATATTTCGGGGAGAGAACTGGACACGTTCTTCACTGTTGTACATAAATCTGGGACATCTTTATCTCTTTTCTTTCTTTCCTCTCCCCCCAACCCATCTCACTGGTAAATTCACTTGCATGGAAATTTTTAACTTGAAATGAGAAAGTCCTCAGTTCCCTCCATGCTCGAAAGTGGTTCACTGCAGTTGACTAACAGCTGGTGTTTTTAGCTTTGCAGTACATGACTGTTTAAATACTGTATTCCTTGTAAATGAAGTTTTAAAAAAATGTTACGGCTGGTGCCAATATTTTTGTTAATGAAACGTTCCATGTCGTCTCACTACGGTCTCGTTCGAGCTCTTTTGTGTATAAGCTAGGCCTCCAGCCTTTTTATAGCTTGGGGGCCTATTGTGTAACTTTTTTTCTTTCATAATGTTTTTTTTTGTTTGTTTATAATATCTACTGTCATTTCTTTCATATAAATATGACATGTAAATTGTCATAATAAAAAAAACATTTAAATACGTTGATGCAGGGACTTGCATTTTGGAGAATGGCCTCGTCATTGTATCACAGAGGAGGAAAGAGCTGAATTTACAGATGATAGGAAATCAGCAAGAGTTCTGGAGGATAGGCGAGGGCAGTCGTTCTCAAACTGGGGTCCCCAGATGTTCTTGGACTGCAACTCCCCGAAATCCTAGCCAGCAGAGCAAACGGTCAAGGCAATTGCAGTCCAAGAACATCTGGGGGCCCCTGTTTGAGAACCACTGCTTTAGGGGAGATAATCTGAACCTTTCTAAAAAAGCAAGTAGCTCTATGGAGAGCAACAGGAGGACATTCAGCTGGGCTAAAGGGTGGCACAGGGGTGCAAGAACTAAAAATGGCAAAGCAGCATCAAATTAGGAATCGGCATGAGGATTTTACAACCTGCATACTAGCTACTCACAAGCTAGTAACAATATTTCATCCAGCTTCAGGAAGAAATTGGACCATTTCAAATATAGTGGTGCCTCGACTTACGAACGTCCCGACATATGACCATTTCGAGTTACGACCAGCTCCGGCCACAAAATTTTGCTTGTACTTGCGACCAGAGCTTCGACTTACGATCGGGGGAAAAAAGCAGGGAAAAGGGCAGGGAATTCAAACTGCTAACCGTTGGTGGAGAAGAGGCTGCTTGCTTCTTCGTAGCTCTTTCGCCCCAGCAGTTAGAGTGAGTGCGATCAGAGGTGGCTTTGAAATGCCTGGTAAGGTAAGGTGCTGCATTCTGCTTTTTAAAAACTGTTCTGGGTGGGTTTTGCATCATGGCTTTGGGCTGGGTGGTGGGATTATGTTTCTGTGCTGTGATGGGTCTTGTAGGGTTTGTTTATTTTTGGGTCCCCTCCCCCCATTTCTGAAGGGTCTTGCAGGGTTTGTTTGTTTGGTTTTGGGGTTTTTTTCCACATTTCTGAGGGATCTTGCAGGGTTTGTTTGCTTTCTGCTTTGCTTTTTTTGCATTTCTGAAGGGTCTTGCAGGGTTTGTTTGCTTTTCTCCCCCCCCCTTCGGCCAGAACAGATTAACTGCGTTTCTGATGGGTCTTGCAGTATTGCGTTTCCGATGGGTCTTGCAGTGGGTTGTTTTGTGTGTGTGTGATTGTTTTTCTTCAGCCAGAACAGATTAATTACATTTCAGTGCATTCCTATGGGAAATGGTGCTTCGATTTACGACAATTTTGAGTTACGACCAGAGTTAGGAACCAATTAAGTTTTTAAGTCGAGGCACCACTGTATTACTGGTTTTTTTGTAAGTCAAGGCACCACTGTATTACTGGTTTCAAGAGATTTCAAACTCACATTTTAATACGCAATCTCTCATATACCCGAAGAGTCACTGGTTGGTTGACTAGATGCATCTCTATGGCAGACTTTTACTACTTCGACAGAGACTCTGTGAAAACAATGCTAAAAAATAATGCTAAAATAGTCTCACAATGGTAATTAATTAATGTATACAACGGTGGTGTGGAAATAACAATACTGTTCAACACAATGACAAAATTCGATGTGTAACATACACTTATAACTAGAGATGGGCACAAACTGGTTTGTCTTAGTTCTTGAAGGTGACAGCATAGGTGTTGCTGCTCCTTTCTCCGGCTCAATCATCCCCTCGCCAGGCCCAGCGTGCCAGCTTCCAGCACCTCCTCCACTGATCTCCCAATCCCGGCAGCAGCTCAGGCTTCTCTGTCCCGCCCCCTTGGCTGATCTGCCACTCATACGAAAGGGCGGGGCAGAGCAGTCTGTGCTCTTGCTCCTGACTGGGAGATTAGCCAAGGAGGTGGGGAAAAGCAAGCAAGACGAGCCTGGTGAGAGGCTGGATTGGCTGAGGAGGCAGGTGAGGGGATAACAGCACCTTGTGTTGCCGCCTTGGATTGGCTGAGGAGGCAGGGGAGGGGAGAACAGCACCTTGTGTTGCCGCCGTGACAAACTGGGACGAACTGGTTCGTGCCCATCTCTATTAAGATATACAAGTCCCCATGATACTCTGAATTAGCATCTTCTAACCTAAACAGTCTGTGTTTGAATAAGGCACTGGAGCTTTTCTCCCTTAAATACCAGGAGTCTTTAATGAGCTTCAGGCTGCTTTCTGTCTCATATCATGTCTGCCAATTTCATAGTCTTTTTTCCCCCAAGCAGATTTTGGTGCTTATCTTTTCTTCTGGAGCCCGAATTCTTAATTCTGAATGTCCTTCCCCTGGGACTTGTTTTCCATATTGCTCATGCGCAGTGTCAAAAAGGATTCTCTCCATACCACTGTTGCACATATTAATTCCTGTCTCTGGCAAATGTTGTGATATTGAGAATATTTTAGCATTGTTTTCACACAGTATTTGTCATGGCTAATAACTTTTCTGTGCTCCCCATTGGCTTGCGTTAAACTGCTGCTGCTCCTTTCCCTCTCTGGCCTCCATCCCTACCACCTTTTAACAGAAGATACCCCACAATTAAGCCTTCATTAAAAACATCCCCATGGTTTTATAGGGGCAAACTCCCACTCTTTCAACTGGTTGAGGGTATTGTCCAGAGAGACAATGGCTTCCAGGTGTTCTTGGACTGCAACTCCCAGAAACCCAGGTCAGCAGAGCTAGGAGGAAGGCTTTTGGAAGTTGCAGTCCAAGAACACCTGGGTTACCCAAGGTTGGGAATCACTGTGCAGTGGTCCCCAACCTTGGTTCCCCAGATGTTCTTGGACTTCAACTCCCAGAAATCCTGGCCAGCAGAGGTGGTGGTGAAGGCTTCTGGGAGTTGTAGTCTAAGAACATCTGAAGGCCCAAGGTTGGGGAACACAGAGCTAGAGCACGGGATATAGCAGTGCTTCCCAACCTTGGGTCCCCAGATGTTCTTGGACTACAACTCCCAGAAACCCCAGCCAACACAGCTGGTAGTAGTGAAGCCTTCTGGGAACTGCAGTCCAAGAACATCCAGGTTTACCCAAGGTTGGGAGCCCCCTCGTCCAGAACATCAGGAGGCCACGTGCTGAGGGGAAGCCAGCTTGAACCAATCAGCTCCTTCGACGCTGTCGCCTGGGCGTTCCTTTCGGACTACAGTTCCCAGAATCCCTCAGGGAGCACAGCTAGCCCCCCCCACTGCTGGCTGACCCTGGGGGTTGCCCTTCTAAACAGCAACTTTTCCCAGCTCTGCCGCCTCTCCATTTGAACGCAGCGCTCGGACAGCCGACAACAGAACAAAACACACGCTCCTTCCGACGCCACGCAGGCCTCTTGACGCTTCGGGGGTTTCTGAAGCCTCGCGAGAGCCATCCAGGCTCCTGATTGGTCGACGTGTCACGTGATGGGCGAGGCGCTCTGCCGTCGCTATGGTGACGCCGGAAAGGTAAGAGGCGGGGCTTCCGGTCGGGCCGAAGCGTTGTGCTTCCGGGGCGGTTCGTGGCTGCGCGGCAACTCCAGACAGGAGGGAGAGAAGCGAGCGAGTCCGGGGGAGTTTCGGGTTTCCTTTCCGCCATGAGCTTCTTGAAGCGCCTCCCGGAGCCCGTCGAAGGGGTGCGGCTGCGGCAGCCGGACACGGAGGCCGTGCTCGGAGGCCGGGGCCTGGGCACCGGCTGCCTCTACGTCGCCGAGAGGTGAGACGGGCCCGGCGGGGAGTAAAGGGGAGGGGAGGAGAGCCTCTTCTCTCGCCTGCCTGTGGAACTCCCTGCCACAAGGTGTGGTGGGGTAGCGAGGAGGAGGAGGAGGAAGGTCTTTTCAGACTGGAGGGTTCCCACCCTCGGGTCCCCAGATGTTCTTGGACTCCCAACGCCCAGAAATCCTGGCCAGCACAACAAGTGGCGAAGGCCTCTGGGAGTTGTAGTCCAGAAACATCTGGGCACCCCAGAGTGGGAACCCTTAGTCTCCTAGACCCGGGGTGGGCAGTGTTTGGGAGATCCATGGATTAATTCTCTCCTCACAAAAGGGCACAAGAACTCCTCACAAGGCCAAAAATAAATATAATAGTAGTTTTTTTAAAAAACACATCTAAACACGTGCACACGAAAATAACCCAAAACTGGCTTCAGATCCACTGCTGATGCCGACAAATCAAATTGGCATCTGGAGCGTTAAAGGGAGCAGGGAACACGGCGGGGTTTATTTAAAAGATGAGCGAGAGGCCGTTCCCGGAGGCTTCTGGGAAAGGCCAGGCGCTGTTTTTGGCTTGAAGACGTTCCTGGCAGGGGATCCTGTGGGGCCCCCAAAATAGCCTTGCAGGGCCTCCTCTGAGCGGCACCAATTCTCTCCTCCTGTTTGTATTTTAGCTGGCAAGGCCGGTAACCCCTACGTAGGTCTCTAATTAGTTTGCTGGATGTGCTTTTCTCATTTTGTTCTGTATCGTGTTTACTGAAATGTGCTTGTGTTTTTACTGGACTTTGTGTGAGAGCCAGTGTTTCAAGGAAGAAATACGTTGCGGGCTGTGTGTTTTTTGACAGTCGGAGAAAAGACTGGTATTTTTTTTTCCCAGAGCTGTGAGTAATTCACTTCTGTGTCTAGGTGAAAACTGTCTTCGAGAAGCCCTTCCATTAGCTGATGTCTTTCAGGTGTTTTGGATTACAACTCTTCTCATGCCCCACCATGCTAGCTGGGGCTCATGGGTGTTGTAGTCTAAAACATCAGGAGGGCAAAGTTTGGGAAAGATGATCCTTGACTGTGGAAAGACCAGGTATCTGTTCCCCTTCATTCTTTTCTCTTATCCTTCTAGTAGGTGTAATGGCCATATGAATATTTATTCTCCAATAGGACTTACGTATTTAACTTAATGTAAATACTGTCCCTTTAGTGCCAAGTATTATTCCAGGCATTTCAGAACAGTCATTAGTAAAATCGATGCTGTTAAACTACAAATAAACAAATACACGACTAGAAAGTTAAAAGCAGTTAACCAATGAAACATGTGGCACCACTAGCAGGTTCTCCGTGAAACAGCAGATTAGTAGGACCGGAGACATAAAGTCAGATAGGTAGATACTCTGTTTATATTCTTTTCTGTGTCAAGGATCTCAGAGCAGAATACATGGAACAGAGTATCACTCAACAATTTAAGATCTTGTAAAATAATTTAAAACAATGTAAATTGTGGTTGTTGTGGGTTCCAGCAGAGATCAATAATGAAATCAAGCTATGATCAATTATAGAATCATTGAGTTGGAAGGAGCCTGTAAGGCCATCGAGTCCAAACCTCTCTTCAAGGCAGGAATCCAAATCAAAACAGATCTGACAGAGGGGTGTCTAAATTTCTCTTGATTGTTTCTAATGTTGGAGCGCTCACCATCTCCTGAGGTAATTGGTTCCATTATCGTACTGCTCTAACAGTTAGGAATGTTTTTTCCTCTGCCTCTGAACAGTTTTGGTGAAGAGCCAGCTTTTGAACTGCTCTAACAGTTAGGAATTTTTTCCCCTTTGCCCCTAAAGAGTTTTGGTGAAGAGCCAGCTTTTGAGGCAGCACCGATTCCAGCCCAAGATGACACAGCAGAGAAGATCTTCCCGTTCCCCCATCACCCCTAATTTCTCCATAGTATTTTGCTCCTGCCAGTGGGGCACAGAGGGCTGTAGCACAAGCCTGGCTGGAGGAGGAATGCTTGAGTTCCATTAAAATCTGTCTGCATAATTGCCACTGTGTTCTCATCAGTTTGCTTCTTTAGGGTTTTTTTTCTGCTTCCTTCCAGCCGTCTATCATGGATAGAGACCTCCGGCCTTGGGTTTTCGTTGGAATATCCGACCATAAGCTTGCATGCCATCTCCCGGGACCTGAATGCCTATCCGTGGGAACATTTGTATGTCATGGTAAATGCCAAATTTGAAGGTACGGGGTCTTTGCGCTATCAGAAGAGAACTAGTCTAGTGATGTGAATGGAAGTTTGGTTTGGGTGAAACTGGGTTTAAAAATATGTTTCAGATGACATGTTTGTGATTTCAGCCTTAGAAAACTTTAATGTTGACAGTGGAGACATCTCTGGGGTCCTTTTAGGGTAAGGGAAAGTCAGGGTAAAAATAAAAAATTTTTAAAAAATAAAAATATAAAATAATAACAAAAATTGCAATTGTTAAAGATTTTTTTATAATATAGGTTATTAATCCTATTGAACATTTCTTCTGAGAAGTCAGAAAGTTGGGACTCAGGAAGACAGCTGTGAAGGCATAGAAAATGTCCTTAAGTGTAAGGATATATTGGCAGAGACCAAGGTCGCCTGAATTATAGTATTCCTGATTGTTATTCACAGTTGTGTTGGAAATAAGTTTCCTCTGCCTCGTTGCTTTTTTCACTCTTCTAGCTAAAATAAGTTGTTTGCTCCCTGTGAATCAGGAAGAAGGCAAAATCTAGGCCTTTTTTTTCCAGGCAAGCGGCAAGGTGGAGATTCCCATGTGATTCTCAGTATTCAAGAGGTTATACACAGAGGCCTGCTGGTTCATTGTCATGTTCTAATTGTATGGTTCCCAACCTTAGATAGTCCAGGCGTTCTTGGACTTTAATTCTCAGAAGTCAGGCTTCTGGGAATTGCAGTCCAAGAACACCCAGGTGACCCAAGGTTGGGAACCGCTGTTGAGTTGTTGTTCCATTTCTGCGGAGTGGTTGCACACCCAACTTCGGAAGATGTCGTTCCCAACAGCACATTTTAGCCTCTGGCCATCCTGATGTTCAGCCATGTTCCCTGGCTGTTTGCCTTACCCTCTGGGGTTGATGGGCCACAGGGTACAAAACAGGGGCTTGAGAATTCACACAAGCCGTGGGGTACTAAATAAGATTTTAGGAGGGAGACAAGCTTCCTTTTAAGTTTGGTGCATACGCCTCTCCCTCCTTCCACACAGCTGGCTTCCCCCTCTGCACAGCAATCGTGTTTGGTTCCGGTCACAATG